GTAGTAGTAGTAGTCGTAGTAGTAGTAGTAGTAGTAGTAGTAGCAGTCGTCGTAGTTGTACTAGTCGTAGTAGTAGTGGTAGTAGTAGTAGTAACTGCTGCAGCAGTAGTAGTGTAGTAGTAGTAGTAGTAGTAACAGCAGCAACAGCAAAGGAAGTAGTAGTAGTAGTAGTAGTAGCCGTCGTCGTAGTAGTAGTAGTAGTAGTGGTAGTAGTAGTAGTAGTAGCAGTAGTAGTAGTAGTAGTAGAAGTAGTCGTAGCCGTAGACGTAGTAGTAGTAGTAGTAGTAGTAGTAGCAGGAGTAAAAGTAGTAGTAGTAGTAGTAGCAGTAGTAGTAGTAGTAGTATTAAGAGTAGTAGTAGTAGTAGTAGTAGTCGTAGTAGTAGTAGTAGTAGTAGTGGTAGTAGGACGAGTCGTGGTCGTAGTAGTAGTAGTAGTAGCAGTAGTAGTAGTAGTCTAGTAGTAGTAGGAGTAGTAGTAAAAACAGCTGCTGTAACAGTAGCAGTAGTAGTAATAGTAGTAGTAGTCGTCGTACTAGTAGTAGCAGCTGCTGTAGCAGTGGTAGTAGTAGTAGTAGTAGTAGTAGTAGTAGTAGTAGTGGTAGTAGTAGTAGTAGTAGTCGTAGTCGTAGTCGTAGTAGTGGTAGTAGTAGTAGTAGTAGTAAGTAGTAGTAGTAGTAGTAGTAGTAGTAGTAGTAGTAGCAGTAGTAGTAGTAGTAGTAGTATTAGTAGTAGTAGTAGTCGTAGTGGTAGTAGTAGCAGCTGTTGTAGCAGTAGTAGTGGTGGTAGCAGTAGTAGTAGTAGTAGTAGTAGTCGTCGTAGTAGTAGTCGTAGTGGTAGTAGTAGCAGTAGTAGTAGTAGTAGTAGCAGTAGTAGTAGTAGTAGTAGTAGCAGTAGTAGTAGTAGTAGTAGTAGTAGTAGTGGTAGTAGGACGAGTCGTGGTCGTAGTAGTAGTAGTAGCAGTAGTAGTAGTAGTCTAGTAGTAGTAGGAGTAGTAGTAAAAGCAGCTGCTGTAACAGTAGCAGTAGTAGTAATAGTAGTAGTAGTCGTCGTACTAGTAGTAGCAGCTGCTGTAGCAGTGGAAGTAGTAGTAGTAGTAGTAGTGGTAGTAGTAGTAGTAGTAGTGGTAGTAGGAGTAGTAGTAGTAGTCGTAGTCGTAGCCGTAGTAGTGGTAGTAGTAGTAGTAGTAGTAGTAGTAGTAGTAGTAGTAGCAGTAGCAGTAGCAGTAGTAGTAGTAGTAGTAGTAGTAGTATTAGTAGTAGTAGTAGTAGTAGTAGTCGTAGTGGTAGTAGTAGCAGCTGTTGAAGCAGTAGTAGTGGTGGTAGCAGTAGTAGTAGTAGTAGTAGTAGTAGTAGTAGCAGTAGTAGTAGTAGTAGTAGTAGTCGTAGTAGTAGTCGTAGTGGTAGTAGTAGCAGTAGTAGTAGTAGTAGTAGTAGTAGTAGTAGTAAGTAGTAGTAGCAACCTTCGTTACCGCGTAGTAGTAGTAGTAGTAGTAGTAGTAGTAGTAGTAGAAGTAGTAGTAGTAGTAGTAGTAGTAGTAGTCGTAGAAGCTGTTGTAGCAGAAGTGTATGTTTGTGGCGTGTTTTCTTATTCGACCTCGAGTGCTCCCGCGACAGGCTCGTCCCAATGAGATCTTCTCGCCTGCTGCACGGGCCGAGGACGCCTCTCGCGCTCCACGGGACTCGGCGCCCAGGCGCCGCAGGGTGTCTGCCAGGCCTCGCTCTATTCCTCCCTCCTCTTCCCAGCGCCCATCCTGACCCTGACCCTGACCCTGATCCTTCTCCTACTCCTCCTCCTCCTCCTCCCTCCCTCCCTCCCTCCCTCCCTCCCTCCCTCCCTCCCTCCCCTCCTCCTCCTCCTCCTCCTCCTCCTCCTCCTCCTCCTCCTCTCCTCTCCTCCGCCTCCTCCTCCTCACTCTCCCTCCCTCCCTCCCTCCCTCCCTCCCTCCTCTCCTCCCTCCTCCCTCCCTCCCTCCTCCTCCCCTCCCTCCCTCCCTCCTCCTCATTCGTCGTCCCCCCCCCTGGTCCTCTTCCCCATCCTAAGAGCCAGTCGCATCCTCATAATTACTCGGACTCGTGTTCTCCGCATTCGTTCTGAGCTGTACGGCTCATCGCGCGCAACTTACAGTGGGGGAGGCAGGGGTCGACTCAGCACCTTGATGAGAAGCCGCTCTTGTTTTCGTCCTCATTATCCCTCGCCCGTTCGGGTCGGACGAACGGGGGGCTAATCAGCAAATCAGCTCACGCAGCTGGTTCCCCCCGCGCCCCCTAGCGCCAGAGGCGTCAGTGTACCCAGGAAAGCACCCGTCGGCGGGGCCGAAACCAGCTGCATGCAGCAGCTTTCGTAAATCGAATTTTCACGGGACGCCATGGCTGCCCATGTTGGACACAAGATGATAGCTCTCTGTCGCTATACAGTTAAGTATGAGCCACGTCTACATCACAGAGCGGCGGGATCGGCTGGGAAGGGGCATTGCTACTCCTTGACCAAAACCTTGCCTCGATTTCCGCGATCGCCCCGGCGACCTCCCAAACCGATCGAGGCCAGACTTACGCAACGAGATCGTCCGACCGACGGGCTCGCCCACGACAACGACGATGACGCCGACGCCGACGACGTCCAGGGCGATGACGAGAACGAGGACGACCACGATGACGACGAGGACGACGTGTCCCGCCCGTCCGCCCGACTGCGGACGATGTGTCCCGCCCGTCCGACCGACCGACTCGCTGGCAGAGGACGACAAGACTGGAAGAATAACAAAAACGCCACAAACATATAAGATGTTGGCGCTCCGCGCGGATTTCTTGGATCCGCGCTGGGCTCCCCCGGCGGCGCCTCCGCCGCCCCTGGCGCGCTCCGCGCGGCAGGGAGGGGGGTCCAGCGCGGATCCAGAACATCCGCGCGGAGCGCAAAAAGTGAATGCTTTACGGCGTTGTGGTTCTTCTTCTTCTTCTTCTTCTTCTTCTTCGTCTTCTTTTTCTTATTTGTCTTATTATTATTCGCAGTTGTCTTCTTCTTCTTCTGAGAGAGAGAGAGAGAGAGAACAACAAAAAACATCAAAAATTATTCACTGCGTGGAGCTCCCCATATGTGCATCTACTCGCATGGACCTGTCCGCCGTGAATGTCTAGGCGCAAGAGCTTTCGAATATTAACGGGCTTCAGTTGTGACGGTCTGGACATCAATCTAACTGCGAATGAATTGGAGTGTGAATGAGCCTCAGTAGTACGAGCGCGTCTCTGTGCATGAGCCTGGGGCCTCCTGGGGCCTCCTGAAACCTACTGGGGCTTCCTGGGGTCTCCAGGAGCCTCTTGGGACCTCCTGGGACCTCCTAGGAAGGTTTCGTGCCCCAGGAGAGGCGCAATCTATAGCAACAGACGTACATAAAACATTGCGGATTAGAGCCACAGGAGAAGGGCAATCTATAGGAACACGCGTAAAACACCAAGGACTCGTGCCCCAGGAGAGGCCCAATACATAGGAACATGAGTAAAACATTTAGGATTGTGTACACAGGAGAAGGACCATCTATAGAAACATACGTAGAACATCAAAGAATCGTGCTCCAGGTGAGGCCCAATCGATAGGAGCATACGTAAAACACATGGGATTGGAGCCACTCCTGTTGCCTTCTGAGGCCTCCTGCTCCTGGGGCCTCTCGGGGCCTCCTGTTGCCTTCCGAGGCCTCCTGGCGCTTCCTGTTGCCTCCTGGGGCCTCCTGTGGTTTCCTGAGGCCTTCTGGAGCTTCCTGGGGCCTCCTGGAGCCTCTTGGGACATCCTGTGGCCTCTTGAGTCTTTCTGTGGCCTCCTGATGCCTCCTGGGACCTCATGTGGTCTCCTGGGGCCTCCTGGAGCCTGTTGGAGCCTCCTGTGGCATCCTGAGAAGAATCTGCGCCCACGAGCCTGGCCACCAAAACAAGCAAACCGATCGAGACATCCTCAAAATCTGGCCCACCTGGGGGGTGAAAATGAGCGCCTCGCTCGAGACATCCTCCAAATCTGCTCCGAAAGCGAAGGATGTTGGGCACAGAAACAAGCAAACCGCCTGAGACATCCCCACAAAATGGCCGCGAACGAGCCCGTGCAACCACCCCTGGCGGCTCCCCTTAGGGGTGCTGAAACCAGCGCCCCGCCTGAGACATCCTCACAATCTGCTCTCCAAGCGAAGGATGTTGGGCCCAGAAACAGGCAAACCGCCTGAGACATCCCCACAAAATGGCCGCGAACGAGCCCGTGCAACAACCCCTGGCGGCTCCCCTTAGGGGTGCTGAAACCAGCGCCCCGCCTGAGACATCCTCACAATCTGCTCTCCAAGCGAAGGATGTTGAGCCCAGAAACAAGCAAACCGCCTGAGACATCCCCACAAAATGGCCGCGAACGAGCCCGTGCAACCACCCCTGGCGGCTCCCCTTAGGGGTGCTGAAACCAGCGCCCCGCTTGAGACATCCTCCAAATCTGATGTGTGTTGAGTAAGTCTGAGTATGAGTAGGTCTGAGTATGAGTATGCCTGAGTATGAGTAAGTCTGTGTATGAGTAAGTCTGTGTATGAGTAAGTCTGGGTATGAGTAGGTCTGTGTATGAGAAAGTCTGTGTATGTGTACGTCTGGGTATGAGTAAGTCTGAGTATGAGTAATACTGTGTATAAGTAAGTCTGGTATGAGTAAGTCTGTATGAGTACGTCTGGGTGTGAGTAAGTCTGTGTATGAGTAAGTCTGTGTATGAGTATGTCTGAGTGTGAGTAAGTCTGAGTATGAGTAGGTCTGGGTATGAGTAAGTCTGAGTATGAGTAAGTCTGAGTATGAGGAGGGGAGGAGGAAAGAGGAGGAGGAGGAAGAGGCAGTAGGAGGCGTCCAAGTAATAACAAGAACCCCATCTTAGGATATGGGAAAAAAGAGAGAGGGAGAGAGAGAAAGAGAGAGAGAGAGAGAGAGGCCTTCATCAGACCCGAGCCGCTCGAGCCGATGCCCGTGGCGCGTGGCGGCCCCAGCCCCCCCCCCCTCGCGCCTGTCGGCGATGCAGCCGGCCAGGATGGGGCCCACGCCCCTGCCGGGAGGCTCCCCCGCAGGGGCACCCACCGGGCTGCTCCCCGCCCCCCCCCCCGCGGCGGCGCGGGCGCGGGGGGGCGGCCCCTGCTTTCGGAGGGCGCGGGGCGCTCCTCCGAGAAGGCACGGGGCCTGCTCGGCAGGGCCGGGGGGCCTCCGAGAAGGCCCTATGCCTGCCACGAAGCGGCCCCGCCTCCTCAGGAGGCCGCCCCCCCCCCCTCTCGCGCCGCCAGTCCCCCCCCCGCCCCCGCCCCGACCTCTCCGGGCCGGCGAGTGCTGCCATCGACCCGCGAGGGATCGAGGGGGGGGGGTAGACGAGCGCGCTCCACCACTCGCAAAGGTGACGCCTACTCGCAGATGGCCCGGATCCGCCGCGGCGGATCGACGCCCCATCACACACACACACATATCGGGAGCGGCCAAGAAGGGGGTGTCCAAGAGGGGGGGGCGCAAATCATGACCGGCGGCATGTGCGCGGCCCAGCGGGGGGGCCAGGGACGTAACGAAATAAGAAGAGGCGCCATAAGATCTGGGGAAGCATCATGACCCCCGCCATGAGATCCCCCCCCCTAGTCATCACCCCCTTCTTCCCAGACCCCCGACGTCATGATTTTTTCATGACGTCGACCCCCCGAGGTCTCGACCCATTCCCCGGGACCGGTTTTTCGTCCTGAGTCGTTTTTCGACGGTCCCGAGGGCCAGTAAGGGCCCCCAAAGGCCAAAAATAATGAAAAACCTCCCGTCGTGATTCTTTCATAACTCGAGGGGGTCTGGGCTTTCCGCCCCCGAACACAGGAGGACACCTTTTGTTCCGACGCTGGCGAGTGGGCACCTGGCGAGCAGCGGGGCGCGCCCGAGGAGGGGACATTGTTCCCTGGAGGCGTGCCGGGCGGCTCTCGGGCGCTCGGGGCCCGCTCCGGCCTCCGGGTGCCTCTCGCGCGACCTCTGTCAGGGAGCCCACCAAGGACGTACGCGCCCAGCCATGTACATGAACACGGCCCCTCGATCCGCGAGACCGGCCGCGTTGTACGAACATTTGCGCAATGCGTGCCCTCGAAACCAGCGTGGATTCATGTGCATGTACGTCCTTCTTTCGCTCCTGATTTACAGGGCCCAGGGGCCGGGGTCTGTGGCCCGAAGGCACGCAGCAGCGCAAACGTACCCTCGCGGAGGCCGGCGTGGATCTTTTCTTGACTGGCGCTGGACCTCCCTCCCGGACGCGCGCAGCTCGACAGTGCCGGCGCCGCCAGTCGAGGCCTCGTCGATGGGGTCGGAGTAGATGGGGTCGGAAGATCGCGCCGCATCGCCGAATCCACCGGCGATGTATCGGCGATGAAGCGGCGATGCAACGTCGACGTCGGCGATGCATCGGCGACGTCGACGTGAAGCAAATCGGGTTCCACATCGAGCCGCATCGGCGATAAACCGGCGATGCGGCCCGACCCTTCGACCACATCTACTCCGACCCCATCGGGGGGAGGCCTAAAACCAGGGGGTCCAGCGCCGATCCAAGAAATCCGTCTGTACTTCCGAAAGTCTATGCTTTGCATTTTTCTTCGAGTGGCGGGGGCAATTTATGAGGCAAATGCTTGGAGGTCTTCGACGGAAGGATGAAAGATGATTAGGCCCTATTCGGGGGCTGCCACACCGGATCAGGCCGCGGATAAAGCGGGATCTAGCTGGGTCCAGCGGGATTAAGAAGCCAGAATGCGTCAGATTTCGTACCAGGCCCAAACCAGTATTTGACCTCCCAATATTTTCGTCCGCAAATGAAAGGATTAAACATGCTATCATCAAAAAAACTGGGCCAGCTTCCCGGGAATTTCTTTGAAACCAGCTTGGGCCAGTTTCTGATGTTCACGCTGGAAGGGCGAACGTGCTCAAGACACTGGGCCAACTTTTTCCTGGAAGTTGGTCAAGAAACGCTGGCTCAGCTGTCCAGGAGGAGGCTTCTGAATCATATGCTCGACTGTAGCGCCACTTACAAGCAAGACCGTAGGCAAGCGTGACCTTTGGAGCGCGATTGTCGGGGGGCTGCGGGGCGGCAAAACCCCTGCGCGCAGGACGCTTCTATCGCGACGCGTCGCGCCCCGTCGCCCGGAGACCCCAGTGTGCCGGCACCAACCCCGACACCATCTTTGAAGGGGCCCCAGGACACACAAATAAATACACACAAATAAAAGGATTCCGCATCTTTTCCCATACTTTCTGGGTTTCTGTCTTCCCCCCCACTTCCCATATTTTCGCATATTTTCCTGGGGATCGTTGATGAATTGTGTCTGTGTGTTCTTTCCCCTCCTGAATCTTGCCCCGGGCCCGACGCCGGGCGACAGCGCCCGGCCCGCAGAAGCGGAGGCGCCAGGCTCCCAGGGCAAGTCCGTCCGGCGAAAGGTCACCCTGACGCGTGGCCGATCCCTGGCCATCGCTCGGACGTCCATTCCCTGTGTGTTTTTCCGTTTCGTGCGTGGTTTTTTCGCCAGATGATCAAGGATGCTCCTCGACGGTCCTCGTCGAAGGAAACATGCACACGTACCAGCCCCCGGCACTCCCGGGGCACCTCACTCCGCGCCCTCGCGCCGCCGTCCTGGAGAGGGAGCACGCGCCGAAGGTCTTCGAGCCTTCCGCCCCGATGGGCCCCCAGGAGGTTCCCAAGAAGCCCCCCCAAAAAAACGGTTCCCTTGAGAGGCCCCAGACCTGCCTCAAGAGTTATGTTATTCCCATCCTACTTAAGGACTACATCCCAGCAGTAATTCCGAGCGCCCCGAAAAGTGTCAAAAGAGTGTCGAAACAGTGCCGAAACAGTGTCGGGCGAGTGTCTCCCAGGGCCCGACGCGAGAAAAAAACATTGCATTTCGGCACTCTTCTGGGCGCTCGAACTTCTTCCTGGTGGTCAAGGCTAATAAAATAGGTTGGAGCGTCGTAACTCGAGAGGCCCTCCAGAGGCCTCTTGTTACCAGCCTGGAACATATCCCTATCCCTATGCTGGGCACCGCCCCTATCACGATGCGAATCTTAGGGATTCCCTCGGTTCTTGAGGGCGCACCCCTAAGATTGTCATCGCTTTTTGGCGTGTCAATCTTAGGGATAGGGATTAGGGATAAGTTCGAGGCTGGTAATCTTGGATCGCTCCGCGCCCTCCAGTCATGACTCGAGAGGCCCTCCAGGCGGGAGCGGCCAAGAGGGGGGTATCCAAGAGGGGGGGGGGAGGGCAAATCATGACCGGCGGCACGTGCGCGGCCCAGCGGGGGGGCCAGGGACGTAATGAAATAAGAAGGGGCGCCACGAAACCTGGGGAAATACCATGGCCCCTTAGTCATCACCCCTTAGTCATCACCCCCCTAGTCATCACCCCCCTCCTTTCCGCCGCCGAATAACTCGAGAGGCCCTCCAAAGGCCTCTTGGGCCGCTCCGCGCCCTCGCGCCGCCGCCCCAGGGAGGAGGCACGGCGCTCCGGCCTCCCGCAAAGGAGCCGCGCGGCGCGAGGCGTGGGGCCTCCTGGCCCCCCGGGCGCCCCTCTCAGGGGGGGGGGGGGGAGGCCGGAGCTCGCCGTCGCTCGGACGTCCCTTCCCTGTGTTTTTTTTCGGCTTCGTGCGTGGCTTCTTCGCCAAATGATCAGGGATGCTCCCATATTTTTGGGGCTTCTGTCTTCCCCCCCACTTCCCATATTTTCCCATATTTTCCTGGGAATCGAAGATTAATTGTGATGGCCCTCGCCGAAAGAAAAATACACACGTCCGAGCGATGCCAAGTGCCCCCTGGGCGCGCCTCTCGGGGGGGGGGGGGGGGCGAAGCCGGAGGCGGAGGGCACGTCGAGGGGGGTCGGCACTTCCAGGCGAGCGCGCTCCACTGCTCGCAAAGTTTACCAGCCTCGAACGTATCCCTATCCCTAGGACTGACACGCCAAAAGGCGATGACAATCTCAGGGATGCGCCCTCAAAACATAAGGGAATCCTTAAGATTGGCATCGGGATGAGGAGGTGCCCAGCATAGGGATACGTAGGGATATGTTCCAAGCTGGTAAAAAGTAGCTGCTCGCAAATGGCCTGGATCCGAGACAGTCGGGCTGCGGAAATAAGGAACGCCGAACAAGGAACGAAGCCCTCTGTGGCTTCAAAAAGCCTGGGGCACGAGAAGGGCTAGAGGAACAACCACGGAAGGACGTCAGGAACATCGAGCCCCTTCCGAATCCAGACGGTTCCTTGTTTCAGCGTCTTGGCAGCATACAATCCATTACTCATCGAGGCAGCGATGTGTCTTTCGGGTGTTTGCGAGTGGGCACTCTCCAAGTAGTGTTAGGTCGGGCCCGTCCCCCTACAGGGGGACTTTGGGCGAAACATACAAATACTCAAAACATACCCCCAAACATTGCCAACAAATACTTCCAACATAGTTCCCTGACTATCTTTTGACTACTTGTGGTCGAAGGACATGCCCGACTTAAAAGCAGTGGAGCACGCTCGATGACCCTCGGGGGGCCACCGAGGAGACGTGCTCCCCACTGGACCCCACAGGCACCCCCCCGCCGAACGCTCCGGATCCAGAAGCGCACACTGGCCATCGCTCGGAGGTCCATCCCCTGTGCTTTTTTCGGTTTCGTGCGTGGCTTTTTCGCCAAATGATCAAGGGTGCTCCTCGGTGGTCCTCGCCGAAGGAAACACGCACGCGTCCGAGCGATGCCAGGCACAGGCCTCTCCGATCTGCCCTCCTCCCTCCCCTGCGATCCGACGTTGGAAAAAAATGCAACCACGCCTGGAGCCCCGGACTCCATCTTGCTGCTATTTCTCGAGCCGGATCGATCTGTGAGGATCCTGGGGCCCGAAGCAGAACGGAACGCCCGTTTTGAAACAATTGCAACGCCAGTGTCTCAGGGTCCTGCCCGATCCTCCCTCCTCCCTCCTCCTCGATCCTCGACCTTCCAGGGCCAGGCCCCGGACGACACAACGGGCCAAGGGCGTGCTAAGATCTCCTGCAACTGGTCAAATCACAATATTTCTAGTTTGCGCGCGCGGGGCCGCCCCTGGGGGTCCCCGGACGAAAAGCACCCCGGCAAGGTCCCAGCTAGGTCCCGGGCATGTCCGGGGCAAGTCCCGGGCAGGTCCCAGCTAGGTCCCGGGCATGTCCTGGGCAGGTCCCGGCCATGCCCCAGCAGGTTCCCAAGAGTGCTCCAGGAGCGCTTCAAGCCGAGACGGTCCCAGAGCAATCCAAGACACCAAATATGGTCTCCAGACAGCCTAAAGCGCTTCAAGACGCCCCAAGAGGCCTCCAAGAGACCTCCCAAGAGGGCCCACAGAGGCAGAAATTAGTAGCGATTCCCGTCAAGTTTTTCAATGCTTTAGGCGTTCTCGCCTTTTCAACTTACCGGCGCTCCAAGACGGCCCAAGAGGCTTCCAAGACCGCCCCAAGACGGCCCACGAAACCTCCAAGAGGGCCCCAAGACGGCCCAAGATGGCCCCAAGACAGCCCGAGAGGCGCACAAGACGACCCAAGAGGGCCCCAAAACGACCCCAAGAGGGGCCGAAGAAGGGGACCAGGAACCGAAAAGTCCAGTTTTCAGCCCCAAGCGGCCCCCGGGAGGCCCCAAGAGGCCTCCAACAGAGCCCCAAGGGGCCTTCAAGAGGCACCCCAAGAAATCCCAAGAGGCCCCCAAAAGGCCCCAAGAGGCTCCAACACGGCCTCCAAGAGGCCTCAGAACTGCCTCCCAGAGGCCCCTGAGAGGCTAACCACGAAAGCCCAATCAGCATCCATGAGGCCTCTGACCCACCACCCACCGCCTCCGAAAAATGGCAGCCGCCTCACCGCACCGCCTCCGACAACAACACCCTGACAAACGACAGCGGCGAGGCAAGATGGGCCGGCGGGGTGAGCGTCGCGATGGAATATCTCCGGGTCCTCCCCGATCCTCCCTCCTCCCTCCTCTTCGATGCTCGACCTTCCAGGGTCAGGCCCCGGACGACATGATCTGTGTTCACGACCTGGGCCCACTGCGTGTTCGATCCCGAGCGGTTCTCGACGGTGCCGGGGCTCGGCGAGGCCCCCCGAAGGCTGAAGAAAAACAAAAGCAAACACCGCCCGTCGTGTGTTTTCACGACGTGCGGGGGTCTGGGGGGAGGAGCAGGAGGAGCAGGAGGAGGAGGAGGAGGAGGAGGAGGAGGAGGAGGAGGAGGAGGAGGAGCAGGAGCAGGAGCAGGAGCAGGAGCAGGAGAAGGGACGAGGAGGAAGAGGAGGAGGATGAGGATGAGGAGGAGGAGGAGGAGCCGCACGAACCTATTGTAGTTATCCCCCGTAGTGGTGACCCCCCCTTCTTGACACTGCCCGAGTGAGGACGGGGCGGGGAGGACTGGACAACGACGAGCACCCCGCGGAGGTCTCCAGACCTGCCCATGGTGAACACCTCGGAGCCGAAGGACAAGAAGTAGTTGCGCCAGTGCGGGCTCGGGAGCTCCTCCCAGCCCAGACCCCCTCTCGTCGTGAAAGTAAAACTCGTCGGACATGTTGTTCGACATTTCTGACCCTGGATGCCCTCGCCAGGCCCCGGGGCCGTACACAAATGGCTCAGGATGAATAGCCGGTCCTGGGGAAGGGGCTGAGAACTCCGAGGGTCCACGTCAAGGAAAAAGCATGGCGACGGGGGGACTGTGCCCAAGGCCTCCACCATCAGGGGGAGCGACTTGGGGGGGCCAGCCCAGGGGGGGAACCATGGAGCTGGAAGCGGCGACCCGATAGATCGGCGATCGCCCCGCTCCTGGGCGTGGCGGGCCATGGGGCCCGCATCGGCGATATCCATGGGCGATCGGGGGCGGACGCGTCCCCCTCCTGAGCAGATCCCCCCCGAACGCTGCCCTGGACCCCCGACCTCTCGTGGATGGGCTCTTTTCATCGAGGAAGACAACAACTGCATAAACATAAACGCTTCACGGTCCGCGCGGAGTTCTTGGATCTGCGCTGGCCCCCCCCCCCCCTACCAGGCGCGCGGAGCGCGCCAGGGGCGCCGCCAGGGGGGTCCAGAACAGATCCAACAAATCCGCGCGAACCGTCGAAAGTTTATGTTTCTGCCGTACTGCATTTTGTGATTCCAAATCTGTGGCCTGCAAGGCTTTTGCGATCCCCCCCCCGTACTGGGAGCGTTGAGGGGCAACGATACGGGGGGGAGACTGGCATGGGGGGGAACGATCGACGTGATGTTTTACGATGGTGCATGTTTTTCGACGTCGGATCCTAGGAAGAGCGGTATAATATACACGTGTCCGCCGTCGGGGACGCCTGCCCCCCGGGCGGCTGCAACGTTTGTACCCCTACGTGGCGACATAGGGATATAAACTCTGCAGCCGCCCTGGGGGCAGGCACCCCCGACGGCGGAAATGTGCATTCTATACCATTATTCGCCCGCTAACTTTCAGGAATCATCGGGCCAGCCTCCCATCCCTCCCATACTCCCCTTCCTCTTCCTGCCCTTTCTTCCTCTCATGCTGTCCCACCAAGTATCCCAATATCGCCCCTCGTTCTCCGTCCGCGTCTGCCTACATACTCTTCTCCCCTACTCGTCTCCTCACTGTGGCCACCGCTCGCGTATCAAGATTGCCTTCCCACCCCCCTCTCCGCTCATCTGTCCTCTCTTACAGCCAGACCGATGGCAGAATAGCCTCCTTCAAGAACATGAAACCCACCGACGGCCAAACTGAAGACCATTCGAGGGTAGCCTCCCCCAGGATGCACAAAAACATGCAACAAACACGAACAGCAGTAGGGTGCCCTCCCCGAACCGACCCCGATCTTATACCTTGGGCCGGCTGTAACGCGGCCCCTCCGTGATCAGACTGAAGGCTATGGTACGGCCCGTGTTCAAGGAAGACAGCGCCAAGATGGACACCACGAAGTAGATGCACATGCCCAGCCTGCAGCGGCGGAGGCACACTCGAACTGAACAAACATGACATCCTACGATGTCTGAGCATGCAGAAATCAGTGGCCGAAGTTCTTACGAGCTGCCGAGAATCTGTATATGCCGAATGCAGGATTCGCCAACTTGCCTCGAGGCACGGGGTGGAGTGTCCTCAGGCCCTCTGGAATCCCCAATCCTCAATCCTCAAACCCAATCCCCTAACATCCTATTAAATATCTTCGGGTTCCCAACGTGCCTCCCGCGGTTCCTGGCGCTTCCCGCATGACTTCTCCAGATCCACGAGCACCCCGAATGGCCCCGAGAGGCCCCCGAGAGGTGGGGAAAACCCCTCAGGCCACCAGGCACGGGAGGTTGGGGCCCAAACGCGCACGCGCGAGAGCGCGCAGCGAAACTCAGCTCAAAGTGAGTTCTGATGTCCAGAATGCCTCCAAAACGCAAAGGAAAGCAAGGAAAAAGGAGGAGGGGGAGGAAAAGGAGGAGGAGAGCGAGGAACAGGAGAGAGGATTGAGAGAGGAGGGGGAGGGGAGTGAGGAAGGGGAGAGGACGAGGAAAAAGAAAGGGGGCCAAGAGGGCGGAGGCTGAGGGCGAGAGTGACTAGCGAAGAGAAGTCGGGAGAAGGGGGAGCGGAGAGAGGAGAGGGGGAAAGCGAGAGAGGACGGGCGGCGAGGAGGGAGGGGCAGTGCCGATTGGGGGTCGATCGACGGCCGAAGGCACGCGGTCCTGGACGTCGCCGGTCGCGTTGTGAATCGCACGTGCGATTCGCGACGCGACCGGCGATAAACTCTCATGCCACTTCTCCAGGCATGCTCTCCCCCCCCTTTCCTCGCCCTCCTCCTCCTCGTCCTCCCACCCCCGTTCAGCCTATCCTACTCCGACTGCCCTCCACCACCTATTCCCCTCCCCCTCCACGCCCTCAACTCTTTCCTCGAGCTCCGCCTCGGGTCTTGAGGCGGCGGGCTGTCTGGGATCTCGCCGCGCGCCCCAACTGCGCGACTGCCCGCGGCGCGGCGAGGTCCGCGAGAGGGATGGACAGTGAGTGAGCGAGCGAACGAGTGAGAAGGTCAGTGGGTGAGCGAGTGGACGAGTGAGAAGGCGAGCGAGCGAGTGGGTGGTTGAGCGGGCGAGGCGAGGAGGAGAAGGCATAGAGAGACAAAGGGAGACGAGCGAGGAAAGAGTGAGCCTCACAGAATGAGCCAGCGAATCAGTGAGCGAGGGAATTAAATGAGCGAGTGAGTGAGAGAGCGAATGAGTGAGTGAGCGGTGAGCGGGGGAGCTGGAGAGCGAGAGGGGCGACCTCGCCGCGCGGCTTCCCGGCGCCCTCGGCGCCGCCCGCTGGCTGGGGCGCAGCCCCCGGGCCCGGGGTCAGTCGGCCCCCGCCTCGGCGAGCGCGTCCGCGGCGCTCTGGAGCCAGCTGTTCGGCTTCCTGACCGAGATCAGCCACCGACTCGTTTTCTCCATGGCCTCCTCGTCGGCTTTGAGCCAGAAGCTCACCTCGGAAGCTGGCCCCCATGCAAGTCCACCTCCCCCCATCCCCCCACCCGCCTTCCCCATCCTCTGATTTCCACCCGTTCGGATGGGTGAGGGGGGAGGGGGGAAGGGGCGAGGTGGACTTGTATAGTTGCCCCCATCCGATCACCCTGATCCCCACCACGTCGCCCGCAGAGCCAACCCTCTCGGCGAAGAGGTGGTTGAAGGGCACGAGGATCGCCTCGGAGGGGCCCACGGTGGCCGTGTGGAGGACGCCGCCGTTGGCGAGGTAGGAGTCCACGGTCTCCTTGGACATCGACTTGAAATATGACTGCAAGTTGTCGGGCGTCAGCTGGCCCATTCCGGACTTCTCCATGTACCCCTTCAAGCGCTCGACCGAAGTGATCACCATTTGGCGAGTGCCCTGCACGTGGAAACGCATGGACGGCCCTCTTCCCCGCTCGCAAGATACAGTTTCAAGATTCTTCTGGATGCCGAAAACGGCCGGCTGGGTCTCAGGATGCATCGCTGGGAAATCCAGGAAAGACCCGCCCAGGAATATCTTGCTGAACAAGGACTTGGCCGCCGCCAGCTGCTCCCCCTTCAGAGCCTTCTCGGCGCGGCCCTCGGTGCCGCGGAGCCTGGCGGGGAGCGAAGGGCAGGGATGGGGAATGGAGGGAGGTCGGGGGTAGGGCGGAGGACCAGGTAGAGGAGGAGCGAGGAGTGCGAGAGGAATCAGACGGAGGGCGAGAGGGAGAAGCAGGAGGAGGAGGAGGAGGAGGAGGAGGAGGAGGAGGAGGAGGAGGGGGGTGAGGTGGAGGGGCGGCAGAGGGAAAGAGAGAAGGAAGAGGAGGAAGGGGAGGAGGATGGAGGAGGAGAAGAAAGAAGAGAAGATGGATGTGGAGGGGGCGGGAGGAGGGGGAGGAGGAGGGGGGGGAGGGGGAGGAGGAGGAGGAGGAAGAAGACGAGGAGGGGGAGGGGGAGCAATATGGGTAGGAGGCGAAGGAGGCGAATGAGCAGGAGGAGGAGGAGGAGGAGGAGGAGGAGGTGGGAAAAGCCTGCACGTAGAGGAGGGAGGAAGGGGTGGGCCAGTCTGGTTCAGTGTCCTAAGAACTTCGAGGCGCTGAACTTCGGCGCGAAAGCGGTGCTGGTGGCGGTCGCTGTCGCCAGATCGTCCTGCCCGAACTCCCCCCCGAAGCCCTTGAGCAAGATCGGCTCGACCAACTCCTGCAGCGGAATTCCTGGACCGACGGCGACGTCAATGACCTTGCATGCCGTGCCCTTCTCGCACCCGCGCTCGAACAAGGGGAGCTGCTTGCCGACGGGCGCCGCCGCGGCCGCCTGAGCTCTCTGGGCTGATGCCGCTAGCTTCTTCTGGCCGTCCTTGCCCACCGACTGCTTCACGGCGCCCTTCAAAATGTTCTCGGCGTTGCGGGCCATCGTGACTAAGTCGTTCAATGCCGCTTTGAACGCCTTCACCTCTTCATTTACTTTCTTCAAGTCGGCCTCGCACTCTGCGTCCTTGAACTTCGCGAAGTACGGCTGGAACTCGTCGAGCGTGATGAGAGATCGGTAGCTGCGGCACGGGGGGGTAACCCCGGACGAGCGGAACCCCGCGATAAAAGCCCTCAGCGCGCGCTTGGCTTTCAAAGCCCTTCGATCCGACAGGGACAGCCCCTGCGGGGAGGTGACGTCCGAGGCAGACTTGAGACGCGCCAGCCCGCCCTGGCCGCCTGTTGCGAGGGTGGAGCGCTGCTTCGCCGCCGCTGGGCCCGCGGCGCATCCGCTCTCCAGCCCGAGCTCCTGGGGGCTGCGGGGCGCGGGGGCGACCGAGACGACCCCCCATGCTGGAGGATCGGGAAGACGAGGAGCGGGACGAGAAAGAGGGTAGTCAGGGGAGGAGAAGGAGGAGGGGGAGGAGGAGAAGGAGGAGGAGGAGGAAAGGGCGCAGGGCGCAGAAGGGAAAGGAGGTTCAGGAAACCGGACGGCGAATAAAAGTAAACGCACGGGCAGGATGGGGAGGGGAGGGAGACGAGCTAGGAGGGAACGATGAGGAAGAAGGGATGACGTGGGAGGAGGGGGACAGGGGTAAGAGGGGAGGAGGGCGAATTAGCTGGGGAAGTGGAAAGAGTGAGGGTGGAAATTCCACGGTGGAAGGAGATGGAGGGGAAGTGAAAGCAGTGCGAGGCAGGATGTAAGCTGAAGAAAGAGGCAGGATGAGGCTGAGCGGGATAAGGGAAACTTGGAAGCGGGTAGGTCCTGGTCCTGAAGGGCAGCAGCGACCTGGTCAGGAAGTCGCCTGGGCGTGGTCTCCAAGGGCTTCTCCTGCGCATTCGCATCAATCGGCTGCTCCTTGTCAACCTGCTTCTCCTCGACGGCCGGCGCCAACTTGGACTTGGGATCCTCCTCGTTCGGCCTCTTCTCGACGGCGGCCTCCAACTCGGCGAGCGCCAACTCCGTCTCGCCGCCGGCGGCGTCGGCGGCCGCAGCGGTTGCTGCCGGCGCGCTGGCGGCGGCGGCGCCGGCGGCAGCGCTGGCGGGCGCCTGCTGCGCGCCCGCGCCCTCGCCGCTTGCGGCCGCGCCCGCAGGGTCGGCGCCGGACAGCCCGCCCACCGCGCCTTCGCCGCCTCCAGCGCCAGCTCCTGCTGCTGGAGCACCTGAGTGGGCGGCCTCTGCTCCCGCCGCAGCGCTGGTCTGCGCCCTCGGCGAGGGGGTCGCCGCGACGCTGGCGGCGTCGCCTCTCTTCTCCGCTGGGCTGCCGGCGATCCCCGCTTGGCGGAGAAGCTGCTCGCTCAGCCGAGGCCCTCCCATGCCGACGTCCTCGGTTGGATCTGGCTGGTCGTCGAAGGGCTTGCTGACGTCGGCCAGGCCCAGCACCAGGGCGCATGCGCGAGCCCGCAACTCGACCACTCGGATCTCTGTCCTGACCTTACCTTCGACAGAGTTCTCCTTCGCCGTCTGCAGGGCGGCCAACGCCGCCTTGTGGAGACCGCCGAGGGTGTCCCGCATCTCGCTGGTCCACGTCTCCTGGATGCGCTCAGCTGCGGCGATCTTCAAATCCTTCTCCACCCAGAGCTTCTGTTTCTTCGCGGGAGGTCGATCCTCCTGCTTTCCAGCACCCTTCCTCTTGCTGCAGCTGCCGCCCTCTGTCTCCTCATCGTCAGCAGCCTCAGCCTCCCCCTCATCATCGTCGGCCTCCTCGGCCGAGGCCACCTTAGCAGCCAGCGCCTTGATGCCGCCCAAGTTTGCGAGCGCGCCCTCGAAGGCGCCGCTCATTTGCCCATGCTCGCCCATCACCGAACCCTTGGCCAAGAACTGCTGCATGTCCTGGGGGAGGGGAAGCGGGGGAAAGCAGAGCGAGGGGAGGGCAAGGATGATAATGAGGAGGAGGACGGGGAGGAGGAGAAGGAGGAAAGGAGAAAGGAGGAACCGCTCCTTGCCGCTGAGCTGGCAGGAAGCCCCCGTGGCGTCATCTAGATTCACGTGGAGCCTCTGGTGCAACTTGTCGATGTCAATTTGCTCGGGCTTTTTGATCTGCTTCTCCATGGACTCGTAGCCCTGGGACTTGGCGTACAGCTGGCGGTCCGTGTAGAGCGTCTTGACCGTCACCCCCAACCGTTGCTCGAACCCCTTGTGCTCTCCTAAGTAGTCGACGATCTCGTCGGGCAGCTCGCATCGGCGTCGGAATTCTGCCGCAGCCTCTGTGTCGTTCAACCCCCTTGGCGGCCAGTTCTTCGGCTTCGACGCCCAATGCTTGAAGGCAACCTCGTGCATCATCTCCTTGATCCCATCCCTCAACTGCTGCTGCTCCACCCTCACGGCCGTCTTATAGGTGGTCGGGCAGAACGTTCTGGGTTTGGCCGCCCTGTCAGCCCCAGCGCAGTTAGTCTTATACCAACGCTTGAGTTTCTTCCAGAGGTTGGGGTCCTTGCGCTGCTCAGCATACCACTCGACGCAGCCGTCGGCTTTGCATGCCTTGTAGAAATTATCCTTCATCCGCGTGCAGGGGTTGATACACGCGGTGCTCCCCGGCTTGAACTGGTCGCAAGTCTTCTGGACGTCGCGCTCCGAGCACACTCTCTTCCCCGCTTTGACAGAAGATGGACGGCCATTCGTTGTCTTGGGCGCATCGCCCCTCCTCTTCTGCTTTGGGCCCCCGCCACGGCCTCGTGAGCCCCTGCCTCCACCAGCGCCTTGACTTTTCCGCTTCGGGCCCCCGCCGCCAGCGCCATCCTCGGACTCATGATGGTCGTCGCCCACCTCCCCCGCCGGCGGCCCCTCGGGCTCGCTGCAGAACCCCCCGCGAAGCTCCTCGTCGGAAACATCCGACATGGCGGCCAACCGCTGGGGCTGGCTGGGGTCCAGCCGCGGCGCCGGCCGCGGTGCCTGCGATCTGGTCGCATGCACTCGATGCTAAACGACTCCCGTGCATTGATGATGGGGCCCTCAACGGAATGCTCAGGCCCAGACTCCAAGACGAGGCGAACCAAGGTCGGTGCACAGGCCCAGACTCCCAGACGAATCAACCCAAGATCGGCGCCGGGGCCCACAGACCGGTAGAGAGCCTCAGGGGGCAGATGAGGAGGCTGAGGAGGATGAGGAGGAGGAGGAGGAGGAGGAGGAGGAGGAAGTGGAAGTGAGGCGACGAGGTGAGCGAGGTGGGCGACGGGGCCGGCGGCATCAGATGGAGGAGGCGCGGGCAGAGGAAAAGGGGGCCAGGGGGATCAGACGAAGGGGGGCACTGGGCTACTTCAGAGCAGACGTTGATGAGCTCAAATCCCCACCCCAGCTTACTCCGCCTTCCTCCAACCTCCCCCATCCCCCCCTAGGCCAGACCCCCGAGCGGGAATGCGGAGTGATTTTCACATGACTGGAGGGCCGGAGTGCCGCTGGAACCAGCGCGGCCTTGCATCCGCGAGAGGGTCGCGCCCTCCCCGCTCCCCGCAATCAAATCTCGACGCGGGTTCCACTGACAAACTAAGTGAAATTACTCACTAACCGAGGCCATGCTAAACCTGAACTGCACTGCTTACTCAAACTGATCCTACTTCGGCCCTCGGCGAACCCTCGACGAGGACGACGCCATCCAGCGCCGGGGAAACACAAGAGGCGTTGTCAGAGAGGCGCGAGCAGCACAGGATGAACGAGATCATCGAGCCGACAGCGGGCCAATTGAAGCCGATGCCCGCGATGGAACGCAACTCCTCGCAGTCTAAGTGCCCGGGGTCCACGCTGGCGTCGCCGGGGCCGGAGTCCTTGCTCACGAACTGCAAGGTGAAGATGTTCGGGAATGGAAAATATTTCGACAAATCCGCTGAAACCAAGCCAGGAACCGGAAATCCCTGGATGAGCAAGTGCTCCGCCGGCAGCAACTCCCGCCCCCGGACCAAGTCGTACAACTGACTCCGCTGGAGCAAAGACGGAGCCCACTTGCTTTCACTGAAGAAGTACGGGGTCTGGAACAAGTTGATCAGGAGCACCTTCGGGTTGCGGTTCATCGCTGCGACGCAATCGGGCAGCCCCACAAACTCAGACAAACGCACCTTCAGATTTGCCTCCCCGAAAGGCCCGAGGTCCAGGCGATCGACGTCCGCCGCGCTCTCTCTGCCCACGCCGTCGCCGCCCTTCTCGTCGTCGCCGCCCTCGGCCTCGGCGTCGCTGTCCACGTGGATAGCCCAAGCCTGCGGAGGGATCGGACGGAGGGCGGGCGAGGAGCGGGGGCGGGGTGGCAAGGGGGAGGGAGGAGAGGGCGAAGGGGGCGAAGAGGGAGCGAGGGAGACAACTGCAGGAGGCAGAGGGCGGAGGAGGAGGACGAGGACGAGGAGGCGAAGGAGGATGGGGGAGGAGGAGGAGGGGGAGGAGGAGAGAGAGGGCGAGGAGGACGAGGAGGAGTATGGGAGGAGGAGGACCTCGCTTGACTAGTCAGTGGGAGGGGGCGAGGGGTCAGAGATGTAGGGATGAAAGGATCAGGGAGGGCGGGCAGATCAGTCAGGTCGAATGGAAGGATCAGGGAGGATGGAGGGATCTGGGAGAATGGCGGGATCAAGGGAAGGTGGAGAGATCAGGGCATGATGGAGGGGCCAGGGAGAGAGGAGTATCAGCAAGAGAAAGGATGGGGTGGATCAGGTAGTAAGGACAGGAGGGTCAGGGAGGGGGTCAGGGATAATCAGGATCAGCGAGGGGAGGGAGGGGGAATCGGGCACGAGGAAAGGGGGTGGGAGTGGAGATGAAGCAGCATTGGAATCCCCGATCAGCTGGCCCACGAGCCTCCTGCCGCTTGTTGGCCCACCCCATCTTGTGGGAGCGCCAGACGTCGGCGTCCTCGCAGGCGCAGAAGATGCCGGCGTCGCTGACGCAGTTGTTGAAGAAAAGACTCTCGAAGATGTTGTGCTCTTCCTCTGGCTTGAGATCCTTATTGACGATGCCCTGGAGAGCGAACCACGCGTAAACGCGGCGGCGGCTGGAGGGGAATCCCAAGTCCACGGGGCTGAACCTCTTCACGAACATCTCGTAGATTCGATTGGACGACGCCTCGTGAAACGCAGTCGGGCGGCTGACAGCGTCCTTCGGTGCGAGATCCTGCGAAAGCCCGAGGTCGGTCTCGACGCAGTTGAGGATGTCGTGGGAGTACTGCGGATCGAATACTGGGGTGCACTCCGCCAGCAGGTCGTCGGGCTCGTAGTGCCTGGCCGAATGCACCCAGACCAACATCGGCAACGTTGCCATGTCCATGAAGTGGTTGCCGGAGCCCATAGTCGTCCACGGATTGCATGTGTGCCCCCCGCACTCCAGCCATCGCTTGTCCCTCAGCGAGCGGTCGTGGCGGGGGCTGATGTAGCATTGCTGGTTGTGTTTCTTGCACCAAGCGGTATCGTTGAAGCTGACTCTCTGCAGGGCCCCATTGAGCTGATCCAGCAGCTCGGTCGACATAAGAGCCTTCTGCTCGTCAAACTCCTGCTGGCAAATCGTAGGCGGGCGGTCCTGGGTGCCCTTGAGCTCGACCTTCAACTTCCTGAAGTCCGCCAAATAAGAATCCATGATCCCCCGCAAGACCTCCAAGTCCTCCTCCGGGACGCGGTCCAAGATGTCGCCGAACACGTGCTCAGGAGCGCTCGGCCCCGAGTGGTTCATCAGCACCTTCTCCGACACAGCGCTGATGTCCCACGAGCTGTAGACGGTGACGTTGTTGGCCACGGAGGGGTCCATCTGATACTCTCCAGAGACGCGGCCGAAGAGGTAAGCGGACACACCGCCAGCGTTGCCTGTTGGCGGAGGGGGGAGGGGGGGGGGGGCAAAATGACGGGGCGACGGATGATGGGGTTGCTCCGACGACTCTATTGCGTCGCCCAGGACGACAATGAAGAGGGCGAGGGACGAGCGAGGGGCTGGGCGACGATGGCGAAGGCAGAGGAAAGGGCAAGGGCGGACGGAGCGAGGAGGGAGTTGCCGAGCAGGGACAGGGCGAGACAAGGTCAGGAAGGCCCCGAGGAATACCCCTGGGAGCCCTGCGCAAATCCCCCCTGCTCCTCCGCCTCCTCCCTGTGATCACGTGGTCCGTTGATCCCCTGTTTTCCTTGTCGTCATCCTGCCTGTCATGCCCCTCGCGCTCCACTCATGCACGAGCTCCTCGCCCTCCTCCGCCCTCCTACCACGCTCCCTGCTCCCACGTACTACGCCTACCCGCCTCCGACCCGCCCTCGTCCCGCCCCGAACTTTGGGCCCGCGCCTGCTCCGGCGTAGACCTCGGTGAGCACGAGGCCGCGCTTCGCGCCCTCCATGAGGGTCGCCTCGAAAGGACAGCCCATCGCCTTGCCAGCTGAAGACATCGACCTCTTGTTCAGGGCGAAGAAATCGATGGCGCCATCGAGGGTGTCGGCGCCATTGGGGAACCAAGTCCTGGGGCCAGATCGCCGCGAACCCCTCCGACACATGGCCCCATCCAAGTCCGAGGTCATCTCATCATCGGCCTCCTGCATGCGCTTCTTCCGCCGCGGCTGCGGCGGCGAGTCCAAGACGTCCACGCAGATCAAGTCCTCGCCGTCCCTGCGGGACACGCGCGAAAGGGGCGATGCGAAAGAACACAGGGGGCGCCGTTCCACGACGACGACGACGACGACGACGACGACGACGACACCGCCTTGAGGACGCGGTCGTCGTCGTCGTCGTCGTCGTCGTCGCCGCCGCCCCGCCGCCGTCGTCGTCGTCGTCGTCGTCGTCGTCGTCGTCGTCGTCGTCGGTCGTCGTCGTCGTCGTCGTCGTCGTCGTCGTCGTCGTCGTCGTCGTCGTCGTCGTCGTCGTCGTCGAGGGGGAGGGAGGGGGCGGGGAGGAGGGGGAGGAGGAGGAGGAGGTGGATGAGGAGGAGAGGAGGGGAGGAGGAGGGGGAGGGGCGGAGGATGGGGAAGGAGAGGAGGAGGAGGAGGAGGAGGATGGGGGCCCCAGGAGTCTGGAGTCCAAGACCCCTGGCAAGCCCCTGGCGCGCCCCCCAGAAGCAGGACAGGCGACGACGACGACGACGACGAACGACGACGACGACGACGACGACGACGACGACGACGACCCGGGGCGGCGCCCGGAGCTTCTGCGAGACCGGAGCGCGCGGGCGGGACTGGCCCAGGGGAAGAGGTCGTCGTCGTCGTCATCGTCGTCGTCGTCGTCGTGCTCGTCGTCGTCGTCGTCGTCGTCGTCGTCGTCGTCGTCGTCGACGTGGTCGTCGTCGTCGCAAGTGGGGGGGTAGGGAGGGGGCGGGGAGGAGGGGGAAGAGGAGGAGGAGGAGGAGGATGGGGAGGAGGAGGAGGAGGAGGAGGAGGGGAGGAGTAGAGGAGGAGGGAGGAGGAGGAGGAGGAGGAGGAGGGGGAGGAGGAGGAGGAGGAGGAGGGGAGGGGAAGGGGGGAGGGGGAGGAAGAGGAGGGGGACGAGGATGGGGAGGGGATGGGCAACGAACGTTGATAAACCCGTGCGCGGCCTGGGGGTCTCGTGCTTGAACTGGCGCAGCTTCCTGGCGACCTGGCGCTTGAACTCGATGGCGTTGAGCGTGCCCTCGTCGAGGGTGGCGCCGGCGGCGCGCGGCGGCTCTGGAGGCTGCGAGCCGCAGCCTTGAGATGAGCTCGCCATCTCCTTCGAAGGGGCGAGGGGGGCGAGGGCGAGGGCGACAACGACGACGACCACGTCGACGACGACGACGACGACGACGACGACGACGAGCACGACGACGACGACGATGACGACGACCACGACCACGACCACGACCACGACCACGACGACGACGACCAGGACGGGACGGGCCAGACCGGCCTCGGGGGAGTCGTCGTCGTCGTCGTCGTCGTCGTCACGTCGTCGTCGTCGTTGTCGTCGTCGTCGTCGTCGTCAAAGTCGCGGTCGCCGCCGCCGCCGTCGTCGTCGTCGTCGTTGTCGTCGTCGTCGTCGGCGTCGGCGTCGGCGTCGTCGTCGTCGTCGTCGTCGCCGCCGTCGTCGTCGTAGTGGGGGCGGGGAGGAGGGGGGCGGGGAGCGGGAGGAGGAGGAGGAGGAGGAGGAGGAGGAGGCGGATGCGGAGGAGGAGGAGGAGGAGGAGGAGGAGGATAGGGGAGGAAGGAGGGCACGGGGAAAAAGAGGGTGAGAGGGAGGAGGACCCTGAGGAGGAGGTAATTGTAAACGAGCCCGAGTCCTCCGCGAGCCGCGGGCGCCGCGGGCGGGGCCGGCGCTCGCCAGCGTCGCCAGCCCAGCTCTCCAGCCTCCAGCTCGGCAGCTCAGAAGCTCTGAGCCGCAACAATTGCGGGGGATGGGTCAAGATGTTATTTACCAACTATCAAGTGGTGTTGGGTCCTCGTTTTGAACAGACAGCGCCCCGCGTCTCCTCTCCTTCCTTCCTCCTCCCACTCCCCCCTCCTCCCATCAAAGTAGCCGGGCGAAGGGCCCAACCATGTGCAGTTGCGAGTAACGCTGTTGTGGGCGAGGGCGCACGTGGGCGCCGCCGCCTGGGCCTTAGGTGGAGCCCCCTTATGGCGCCACGAAACGTGCAAGGGGTGTACCAAAATGGGTGGCGGGGACGCATGTGGGCACCGCCGTTTGGGCCCTCGGCGAAGCTCCCTATGGGCCACGAAACGTGCGAGTGGTGCGCCGACTCACCTCCGACCAAGAACCGAGGGGCCAGAACGACTCACCCCCGACCGAGAATTGAAGGGCCCGAGCGACTCACCTCCGACCGAGAATTGAGGGGCCCGAAGGACTCAGTTCCGACCGAGAACTGTAGGGTCCGAACGGCCCACCTCTGACCGAGAACTGAATTGCCTGGGCGACCCTCTTCCGACCGAGAACTGAAGGGCCCTGGCGATTCACGACCGAACGAAAAAGGAGGGGCCCGAACGACTCAGTTCCGACTGAGCACCGCCACTGGGGCGGGCCTTCAATGGAGCTCCCTGCGGGGCCACGAAGAGTGTGAGGGGTGTCCCGGCATTGGTGGCGAGCACGCATGTGGGCACCGCTACTGGGGCCTTTGGTGGAGCTCCATATGGGGCCGCGAAACGTGAGGGGTGTACCGAAATGGGTGATGATAATGATGAAGGTGATGATGATGGTGGTGATGACGTCGATGATGATGGGCGAGCAAGAAGATTGTAATGTTGATGATGGTTATGATGATGGTGATGATGATGATGATGATGATGATGACAATGATGATGATGAGTGATGACGACGCGCTACAAGTGGCGACGTACATCCCCAACCCCAGGGAATCCGAGATCTTTCAGCAAATCGCATGTGCATAATACATTATCGTTGGATACACATGTTGTTGTGGTCATATCAACGTGTAGATGTAGGGGGGGAGCGCTGCGAGAGGCAGGGGTCCCGGGGCGGGCCGAAATTCTGCCGCATTTCCTATGCAGAAGCCTCTTTTTCGCTTAAAAACTTAAAAAAAACAAAAAAAAAAAAAAAAAACAAGAAAAACCATAGAAAACGATTGAAAACTTGAAAAAAAACAATCTGGCTGTCCAGAAACAAGCAGAAACCGACCCCGACATTTGATTCCCTGAAAAAACCAGCGCGCACCCCAGGGGGCTCCAGAGGCGGCTTCCCAGGTCGGCAGGCACCCCCCCCAGGTCGGAAGAAACCCCCCCCAGGTCGGAAGAACCCCCCCCCAGGTCGGAAGAAACCCCCCCCAGGTCGGAAGAACCCCCCCCCCCGCCAGGTCGGAAGAAACCCCTCCCAGGTCGGAAGAAACCCCCCCCAGGTCGGAAGAACCCCCCCCCCAGGTCGGACGAGCCCCCCCTGGTCGGAAGAAACCCCCCATGCCCCCCCCCAGGTCGGAAGAAACCCCCCCCAGGTCGGAAGGACCCCCCCCAGGTTGGAAGAACCCTCCCCAGGTCGGCAGAACCCCCTGCGACGACTCGAGGGGGCGAGGAGCCCGAAATAAAGCGAGAGCGTGTTTTCAGCATGAGAATTTGCGCGAGGATCAAAACATTGGGAAATACATGTAAAAAAAAAAAAACATATTTTCATTCGAAAAATTAAAGAGCCGCAAAAAAAAACATGAAACAAACAAAAAAACAATAAAAAACACAAAAAAAACAATGAAATATTGGTGGCGGCGGCGAAATTGCGGCAGATTTGCGCTGAGATTTGCGCGAAGGGCGCGGGGGGAAGGAAAGGGGGGGCCGGGCTAACAAGGCGGCCTTCATTGTTGCCAATTCAGATTTCACAGCTCGCGCACGCGCGCGAGGAGGCGAATCGGACGCTGATCCACTGGAACTACATGTCGGCTTTTCTATTGTGGGCACGTTAGTTTCCAATTGTTTGTTGTTATTGTTGATGTGTTGTTGTTGATGGTATTGTTAGTGCTGTTGTTTGTGGGCTGTGTTTGTTGTTATTATTTGTGATGTTGTTGTTGTTTTGTTGTTGGTAGTAGGTATTTATATTGTTTGTGTTGTTGTTGGTTTTGTTGTTGTTGTTGGTGGTGGTGGTGGTGTTGTTGCTGTTGTTGTTGGTGCTGTTGTTGTTGTTGTTGCTGTTGTTGTTGTTGTTGTTATTGTTATTGGTATTGTTGTTGTTGTTGTTTGTTTGTTTGTTTGTTTGTTTGCTTGCTTGTTTGTTTGTTTGTTTGTTTGTGTTTGTTGTGTTGTGCGCGTGTTGCCTTAGAACCCTCAGCCCTCTGACTCTGAGACCCACAGCCCAGGCATCGCAGCGCCACCCCTCTGGGCGGCCCCAAGACATAGTCTCCGAGGCCCCGAATCTGGCCTCTGGTGGGCAATCTGGGTGAGCCCCGCCAAGCCGGGATCCTGGGGGCCTCTAGACAGGAAACCTCGGGTGGGTCGGGGAGAGCGACGCCCCTAGACAATAACTCTGGGGGGCAACCTGGGTGCCCCAGCCAGGCCGAGACTCCGAGTGGGACTCCCTGGGACAACCCGCGCCCGCCTGGGGCCCCCCAAACCCTACCCCCCCCAAAAAAAAAAACGAGACTGCGAAGTCGCCGAAGTCGTCGAGCAGGTACTGGCCGACGATGGAGTCGCATCCGCTCGGCGGCCGAATGGCGGCCAGGCTCAGAAAACAAAAACAAAACATGGGTATCCTGTTATGCCTACCTTCTCCTGGGGGGGGACCCAGCGTCTCACTCGATCGGTCTCACTACAAATCTCTCTATCGGTCTCAGCTCTCACTCGATCGGTCTATGCCAGCCTGTCGATCTAACAATGGATCTCACTCGATCGATCTCACCATCGTTCTCACTGTCGATCCCACAACCGATCTCACCCTCGACCGAGTAAATAAGGCAACCGGCCTCACTATCGATATCATAACTATCGATCTCACGATCGGTCTCGTTATCGACCACACTATCGATATCACTGTCGATCTCGCCATCTTGGCACAACCTGGAGCCATCTTAGCGGGCCACAACTTGGGGCCATCTTGGCGGTCTTCGAGGCCTTCTTGGCCGTCTTGGAGGCATCTTGGAAGCAGACGCATACGACGACGACGACGACGACGACGACGACGACGACACCGAACAATTCAACACGACGACGACGACGACGACGACGGCGGCGACGACGACTGACGAGTTCCCTCTTAAAACGAAGAGGGCCGTAAGAGTGCCCAAGAGATGCAACGCAACTGTCTCAGGAGGTTTTTTTGTCATCTTCCCCGCGGGGGGGTTTGGGCTTCGAAGAGCTTTCAGACAAGTTCACCTTGAGGTTTCCACAAACTTCGCGTGAATTCCAAATGCGATTGCGCTGTTCCAAGAGGCATCTGATACGGCCCTGGAGCGTTCCAAGACGCCGCGAAAAGCATCAAAACGGCCAAATAGAATTTTCATACGTCCCAGGAGAGCTCGAAAAGGATCCCCCCCCCCCCCGGGTCCCCAATAGGCAAAAACCAACGATTTTCCTTTGATGTTTGAAAGATGTTCGCGTTCTCCTTTCAAGATTCCAACGCATCAGCGCGGCCCAAGAGGCCACAAGATGACCCCAAGCCGGCCCGAGAGGCGCCCGAAGAGGGCCCAAGACGGCCCACGAGGGCGCCAAGATGGCCCGCGATGCCGCCAATATGGCCCAAGAGACCCCCAAGACGGCCCCAAGAGAGGACCCAGAGGAGCACCATAATTCACACATTTCGAGATTCTGCTCCTCCGAATCGCCTCTTGCGAAGCGGCGCGGGGGCATGGGGAGTGCCTTCTTGCGTGGACGCAGCGCCAGGGCCACCATGTATCCGAAAATTGTATGTACATACATTTCCGACATCATCGCAGAGCCTCTTGCGAGCGTTTTGGGGCGCCTCGCGGCAGCCAGCTGGGAGCCTTTTGAAGCTTGATGGACTCCATTTGGGCGTCTCTTGGAGGTTGTGGGGAGCTCTTGGAAGCATCTTGTGGCTTCTCGGGGTCTCTCGTGGGCCCCTCGGGGTGTCTTGATGGCTCTCAGGAGTGTAATGGGATTCCTACGGGTTTTCTCGGGGGCCTGTCTGGAGCCGCTCTCACCTTCTGTGGGTCTCTAAAAGGCTTCAGCAACCCCCAACCCCTCTTGGGGCCCTTTTCGGGCCCCCCCTGGGCTCTCTTGGAGCCCTTTTGAGCTCCCTTGTAGCCAAAAACTCACCTCACGGAGGGCCCGTCCTCTCGCAGACCATTCGTTGGTCTGAGAGCTTTGAGAGCTTGGGGAAATTCGCACTTGCCGATTCTGGGACACCCACTCGAACCCCCGCGCCCGCGAAACAATCGCGGGCCAGACCAGCTTCGGCAAGAGGGACAATGAATCCTCGACCCCTGGGTTCTTGGGGTATCTCTACTTATCCCGGCGCGTCTACGTAGCGCTGTAAGCCTTGGGGGGTCCTCGAGCTGTTTACGAACTCGAGGCATCCAGAAGAAGGAGACGGAGGAGGAGAAGGAGGGAGAGGGGGAGGAGGAAGAGGAGGAGGAGGAGGAGGAGGATTGAAAGGGCCCCCCCTCGCCGACCCCGCGGCGGAGTCCGACGGCCTCCGCGAGCCCTCTCGCGACCAGTCGCGAGGCAGCGCCCGCATGCCCGGGGAAGGGCGAGGACCTCCGAGGAGGGAAGCGAGAGGAGCGAGGGGCGACGGGGCCAAGCAGGGGGCGAGGAACAGGAAACATGAGCGAGTTCGAAGGGGAATAGGTGTAGGGTCTGGACGAGGGGCGAGGGCGCGGAAGCGGAGGGTGACGATTCCTGGAGAGCAATTTCTCACCTCCAATCCCCCGATCAAACTGAAGCGTCACGCCAATCCCTCGGGCTCTTCTGGCTCGCCAGGGCGCCGGGGCCGCTCCAGAGCCGCGAGAGCCGCATGCGCCGCGGGGCTCTCAGCCCGAAGTCTATCTCGCGCCGCCTGGCGGCGGGCCAGAGTCATGGCCTCCTCCAGGTAGCAGCCTGGGTGCCTCCCGACGCGCTGGTGGTCGCCCTGGCACGCGTGCTCCCCAGCGCACGCCAACCAGGCCAAGATGAAACCGAGCGGTCGACCCTGGGCAGCCCTGTTCGCGGCCAATGACGGCCGAGTCGTCCTATTCAACCTGCGCAAGTGGGTACGCTCTGGCAAGCCGCAGTGGCCACCCATGGACAGCCGCACTGTGTCGTAACGAATGGTCGCCAGACCATCCCCCCTCATGCACCCCACATCGAACACTGGGTGCGCGACCAAGGGGCCCCCGGCAGGCCCGCCGCCACCGCCCACTGGCGGCGGCGGCGGCGGCGGCGGCACCTCGCCGCCTCCGGCTTCACCCTCGCCGCCCTCTGGCCCGGGCGGGCCAGGCGGCCCATCGCCGCCTCCTCCTTCGCCGCCTCCTCCTCCTTCGCCGCCTCCTCCTCCTTCGCCGCCTCCTCCATCGCCGCCTCCTGCTTCGCCGCCTCCACCCGGCGGGCCTGGAGCGTCGGGGAACAATTCCTTCATCAAGATGTCTTCGATGCTCTCGCCGCCGATGCCCTCGCCGCCGATGCCCTCGCCGCCGCCCTCGCTCTCCCCGGGGTCGTCGGACCACTCGAGCTCCCCGCCGCCGCCCTCGATCGGGGGCGGAGCGCCTCCGCCGCCGCCCTCGATCCGAGGCAGCTGAGCGCGGCGTCGGCGGGGCGCAGGCGCATCCAAGTCCGCCCTCATGCCGCCGTCCTCAATCGCATCCCTCACTGGCAATGGCTTGCCCTCCAGGATGTCCCTGTACACTCCAACTCGGCACCCGTGCGGAATGTGCTCGATGCGAGGGCAGAGGTCCTGGGGCCAAACACTGCCCCGACAAACGCTTAGCATCATCCTCCGCCTCCCCCTCCTCATCCTCATCCTCATCCTCATCCTCATCCTCCTCGCACTCTCATCCCGAAGAAGCCCTTACTCACTGAGGAGGTAAGGGGAGCTCGAAAGCCCCCGCCCACCCTCCCTCATCCTCCTCATTCCCCCCATCCTCCCCCTCCTACCCAAGGCCCTTCCCCCCTGCTCCTCCTCCACCTCCTCCCCCTCATCCCCCTCCTCCCCCTCCTCCTCCTCCCCCTCCTTCTCCTCCTCCTCCTCCTCCTCCTCCTCCTCCTCCTCCTCCCCCCTCTTTCCTCCCTCCTCCCTCACCTCCTCCTCCTCGGACCGAAAGCGGCCATTTCCCGAAAGCGATGCATGTTGCGCATCCGGGTTAGGCGCAGAAAAGGGGTATCTGAATACCGACGCGGAAAGCGAATTCCGCGCATAAGCTTGGGGCGGACGGGCGGAGAACGTTTCCTCTGCCTCCTCCTCCTCCTCCTCCTCCTCATCCTACTCTTCCTCCTCCTCCTCCCCCCCCCTCTGTCGGGGGGGGGGGGATGGGTCGGGCGTCCTCGGCCGTGGTCAGCGCGAGCAAGTATTCCCGGCAGATGGGGGTGTTGGTGGTGGCAGGGGAGAAGAGCAGCTTGCGCTCCCCCGGCTCGTAGCCGAGCGGGACGCCCGGCGGGCGGCGCCTGCCAGATACCCAGGGGAGCCATAGCCATCCTGGTGGGCGAATCACACGCAACCCATACCGACCTACTCACACTCAGGAAGTCCCCCGAACAAGCCGACGAAAATGCGTAGCACGGCCGAATGATTTCACCCCCCTCGATCCGTCGTCCAGCAAACGCCTCAAGAGCTCGTAGGAAGTCTGCTCGACTGCGGGGACATCTCGGAGAGCAAGAGCGCACCTCGGCTTGCTGAGCCTCCAGAAAGAAATGGCCCTCCCACTTGTCAGAGCCCTCGATGTCAAGCAGCAGCGAAGTTGACCGTCCGCGGCCTGGCGAACTTCCACGAGCGCCGCGCCTTGCAATACATTGATCACGTCAAGCATGTCCTCAGACACTTCTGGCCAAACTTCAGGAAGCTCTTGATCGGAAACGCACTCGCACATAAGATGAGAGACAACGTCGGCCAGGCGGTCGTGCGGCACCACGTCGGGGGCAACCCCCAGCACCGTGTGGCGAAGCTCTGCCGAGTCCCAAGCCAAGAAGTCACGACAAAGAACTTCAGGACTCCCAAAATCGTGAATAATGCGCGCACTGCCGCTGCTGCTTGGACTGTGGACTGCGGGTGACTCTGGGGTTCCTCGGTGAGGGTCCACAGGGAACACGACCACGGCTATATCGTTCTTCCCCATTCTCCTGCCCGCACCAGGGGGCATCTTGATCACCTTCTTGGCGCCGATGTTCGGCACGCTAACCTTGCGGGGAGCAGCCTGGACATCGGCATCGGGTACCCCGCGCAACAGTAACAGGTGCGCTGGACGCCCGACTGCGCTCTGTCCAGGCCCCTCCCCCGCCTCCCGCCCACAAAACCCCAGACTGCCCTGTGCGACAAAGTCTACGATGTTGCGATGCTGGCACCCCCTGAACCTGGAAGACAACGTCCCTGGGCTCATGCTCGACCGGGCCGTCCTCCAACGCCAGGAGCTCCTCGTAGCCGTCGGCGAGCCCGTCGCGCCTCCTGGCCAAAACGTTCTGAGCAACCACCGTCGCTGGCAAGTTCGCGAAATTCTCCATGCTCTCCGTGGACGCCGCTGCGGCGGCGGGAAGGTGATAGTGAGCCTGGGGGTCGTGCGTCTGCCTGAAGTGATCGCAGATAGAAGCTCTGAGAATTGTGTCTAAACCAGTATGTTGGAAAACATCAGTCATCTTCTTAACGCATCTCGAAACCTTCCCCTTTGCGGACTCATCGAACATCTGGTAATCCTTCATGGACCTGTACGTGTTCTTCAAGTCACAATGATAAAACACACTCGCAATGAACGGGACGAGCTCCGATCGAGATGTTTCGCGCAACTTTGAGAAGAGAGGGTGGTCCTCGAAGTTCAAGAGGCTGGGTATCTTCTTCAATGAGCGGGCCTGTTCGAGATCCTGGATGAGGCCGAGCAAGACGACGGGCCGTTTCAGCAAGGTCCTTTCCAACAATGGCAATCTGTTTGACAAAGACACACGACACGGGCCAATGACATGTCGCTTGCTGTCCATGCTGACTCTGGAATGTTTCTCCTCGATCGTCGTCTCGACCACTGGGATGAACTGCCAGGACGCCACCTGCTGCGCAAAGGCATCCGAAAGAGACCACCTCGGGGCCCCGTCGATGAACAGCTCCAGCTGCCCGCGGAAATCCGCGCCCGGCCTGAAGTCTACGATTGCAGCCATTCGAATAGGAAAAAGTTGCCCGTGGACGAAAACGCCCAGACCATGCCAGAGCCCAGAAACGATTGACAGGAGACCCGGGGCCCAAGACACCTGGACAGATCCCAAACCATACGAATATGCCAAGGATGATTGGACCGATAGAGCGTCGAAAGGCAGCAATCGAGCCTCAAGAGATTCCAAGTGACTCCATGATGTACTGGAGGAGGTCGAGGATCCTGCTGAAACTTGTGGATGCAACTCTTCGCGCACTCTCGAGCCTCCTCCTCGTCTATGCTAGCGATGCCGACCATGAGCCAAGGTAAGCTTTTCCAGAAAGCGGTCTTCACAGACAGGAGGGAAGTCTGGACGCCCTTCGCGTGGACCATCTCCGCCCTCAGCTTCTCCATCTGCTCCCGCGAGAGGCGGTGCTCGGCTGCGTGATGGAGCATCGGCGCCTCCTGCCCCTCCCAAATGTCCTCGAACACCTTCGCGACTTTCCCTGTGACTACCTCGGGCGCCCGCTTGCCGCTCATGGGGCACGCGTTGCAGCGGCCCTCAAAATGTTTCTTCAGCATGATCCGCCTGCTGTAGTCCGACATCCCACCCCCCACCAGCCCGCGGCCGCCTCGCGGGAAATCGGGGGGAAGAGAAAGCTCCGAGAAAGCAGCGAGGGGCAGCAGGCAGCAAGAGGCAATGGGGGTAGCGAGGCGAGAGGCAGCAACAGGGGCAGCAGCAGGGGCAGCGGGAGAGGCAGCATCAGCAGGGGCAGCGGGAGGTGGCAGGAGCTGAGCTAGCGGGCTAAAGCAGAGTGCAAACAGAAGGACAGGAGGAGGCCCGCCTATCAGACGCCGCTTCTTGCAAGCGCCCCGCACGAGCTTGAAGAGCTCTTCGTGGCAGGCGCAGCCCTCTCCCCAGGCCGCGAGGGCCAGCTCGGGGAGCTCGTCCACGTCCAGCGCGAAGGACACGCAGGCGAGCCAGTAGTTGTCCTGCAACGTCCTCTGGAGGCCGGGCGCGTCGAACTCGCCGCCGCCGTTGGCCTCCCCGTCGTCGCCCTCGCCCCGCGCGCGCTCCCTCCTGAACTCGTCTGCCCGGAACGCCTTGCAGAGCGCCGGCAGCATGGGCACCACCCTGCGCAGGAAAGTCAGCACGCACCTCCAGGCGGGGGAAGTCAAGAAAGCGCTCAACATATTTACCTCCTGCCTGTCCGATCCTCCACTCCCTCCCCCGCTCCATTTCCCCCCCATCCGCCTCGTGCCTCGTGGCCCCCCATCCTCCTCCCCCTCCCCTGCTTAGATCGCCAAGCACCTCCACCGATGCTCGTACAAGTCAGCTGAGAACTTCTCGAAGTCGGCCTCGGCGTACTCCCACGGACTGCCGATGAGACAGGTGGCGATGAAGTGCAGGCGTCGACCCCTATTGCACATCAGCGCCGCGAGGTTCTTGAGCTGCTGATAGAACTCGCCCCATCCTGGCAACGACGTGTGTACATCTGAGTTCAAATTGTTGGTCAAGTGTTGAAACCCATATATCGTCAAGGCCTCCGGCATGAAAGTGTCGCTACCGGGGATGTCCTGCGGGCGGGATCACGAACTCTTTGAGCGCTTGGATCCTCCGCTTCCCCCCCCCCTCTCTCGTGCCACCTGCGCCCCCGCCTCCCTCGCTGCGCTCGCTCACCACATTTCAACCCCATCTCGACCCCCTCGCACTCCTGATCCTTGCCCTGCTCCCAACTCCTGCTCCTCATGCTGCCGCACCTCCTCCTCCTCCTCCTCCTCCTCCCCCATCCTCCTCCACCTCCCCTTCCTCCTCCGCCTCCTCCCCCCCCTCGCCCTACCCGTCCTCCTCCTCCTCCTCCTCCTCCTCCTCCTCCTCTTCCTCCTGGTCCTCTCCCTCCCCACCCTTTCGTCCTCCCTCCATTCTCTCGTCCTCCCTCCATCCTCCGCCTCCCCCGCCCTCCCCCGATTCAGACGGCAACCCCTCCTGAGCAGGCCCCGGCGGCGGCGGGGCTGCAGCGGCCGCCAGCTCGCCGTCGACGCGACCCTCGACCTGCTCGACGTCGAGCTGGAGGGCGGAGCGGTTGACCCAGGGGGGCAACATGTCGTCCACGGCCTTCATGCTGAAATCTGGCACGGATAGCTCCACGCCCATGTCGGACGTGTGGGAGCAGAACGTTCTCGAGTAGTCGCGGAAGCTTGCACCTTCAGGTAATTCAAGATTCCACTGGTGGACCATTGCATTCACTTTGTTTGCCAGGGTCGCGCGCGATAAAGCCAAGGACGTAGGTGGATAGATGTGCTCGTTGATCTCCAGAAGGTCCATCAGCAGCGGCTTCCAGTCCGCGAGCGGCTCCAAGGTCATGTCCCCGAACGTCTCGCGCGCAACGCGCTCCTCCGCAAATCGGCGGGTCCTGCGGGCGAGCTCGTGCGCAGACTGGCAAACCTGCACGGCCTTCGCCTTGGGCACCTCGTGGACTTGAACCCATAGCCAGTCGTATCCAGCAAGGGGGCTGGCGTCGCTCCACGCGAATCTGAAAACGTCCAGCTTGTGCCCCCGCCGCCGCAGTAGCGCCGGTGCGACGTCTAGCGAGAGCTCGCCGCGATGAAGGACTGAGGCGCTGGGCAAAGCAGAACTAGCGATGTGCTTGGAGTCCTGGAGGGGCTCGATGCTCCTGAGCACGGCCCCGACCAGCGGCTTGGGGACGACCAGCGAAACTGCCCGCCTCACCGCGTCGCGCAACTTAGAGGCCCCGCCCTTCAACATCGACACGGCTCTAATGGAGTCCAGCAGCTGCATCGCCGCGTGCCGAAATCTGCCGAAACCTGTGTGGCTCCCCCCAGCAGCTTCTCGCAACTCCACGGCCCACCAATCCAAATTCATGACTGCGCTCTGCAATTGTCCCAGCCGCTGCCTCCGCTCCGCCTCGTCCTGAATGCTGGGCGCCAAGGGCTCGAGTGATCGAATGACGTCGGAGATCCGCTGCAGATCCTGGTGGCTAACGTGCGACGTCGGCGCCGGCGCCTCAAAATCGCATGGGTCTGGATCGGGGGCCCAGTTCCACACCGGCGCGCCTGCGGGGGGCCAGTCCATGCCAGGGATAAGCGAGCGGCCAGCATAACATACGCCCTGAGAGTCGACGAGAGTTTTGTGCCAAGATACGTGGACGACAACGCTTTTCCATTTCCCCTGAGATATGAGGCAGACGATGGGTTCTGGCAAGAGAAAGACAGGGAGGTGGTTCGGGTCAGCGTCGATGCCCCAAGACTCCAGGACGCTCGACGCGGCGGGGCCAACTGGCTGATCCAAACCCTGGCCCATGCCCATGTCGTCGTCGGTTCCACCGTCGCTGCCCATGGCCACGTCCGCCAAACAACTGGCGTCAACAGTCCGTCCGCCGTGCCAAGACCAATGAGCCCGCGCCGCCGCCATCATGGCGACGTCGCCCGCGAAGCCCCCCCAGTCGTGGAAGAGGACGTCCTGGGTCGCGGACGCCACGCGGCGAGTGGCGCGACCTCCGCCGCCGTCCTGACGAGCAGCGGCTCTCTGCGCCCTGGTCCAGGCGAAGGTGAGGGGCTCGGGCTGCACGCACGTGGCCGCCTGACGGAGGGGGGGGGCGCGGGAGGCTCGGCGAGGGCTTGGAGGAGGAGGAGGAGGGGGGGGAGGAGGGAGGAGGGGGGGAAGAGAGAGGGGAGGAGGAGGAAGAGCAACGGGGCCAGCTGGAAGGGGAAGAAGAGATGTTGGGGGAGAGGGAAGAGGGAGGGGAGATGGTGCAGGAGGGGGAACAGGAGGACGGAGGACGAATGAGGAAGAGGAGGACGAGGACAAATGAGGAGGTTAGCGCGATGATAACGAGGACGAGGATGAGGTCCTCATCCTCATCATGAGGATGAGGAGGAGGAGGAGGGAGGAGGAGGTGGAGAGGGGGGAGAGGAGGAGGAAAGGCCTCGGCGATCACGATCGTGTACGCGTCGTCGCGGCCGCCGTGGTACTCGAGGAGCAACCTTTCGAGCAATGACGCATCCTCCCCCATCTTCCATCCTCCTTCCTCCTCCTCCTCCTCCCTCCTCCCTCCTCTCTCTCCTCCCTACTCCCTCCACTGACTCCCTCTCCTCCTCCTCCTCCTCCTCCTCCTCCTCCTCCTCCCCCTCCTCCTCCTCCTCCTCCTCCTCCTCCTCCTCCTCTTCATGCGTGTGATTCGTCTACGCGGATTGGGGCAAGCAATGCTGCAACGTGAACGCCGCTTGGGTGGGGTCACTCTTCCTCCTCGTCCTCCTCCTCCTCCTCCTCCTCCTCCTCATCCGTCCTGCTCTGCTCCTCCTCCCCCCCGCTCTCCCCCCCGCCCAACCCCTTAGGAACATCTCGCCGAAGGGCGTGTTTGGGGCCGAATGTAAAAATGCAATGAGAAATTGTACCCCTGGCAAAAATCATGAAATCAAAAACTGAAACCGCCGAGACTAGCAAAACCTTCTGCCTCCCATCCTCCTCCTGCCTTCGTGCTCACCGCCTCCCTCCTCCTCCACCCCGCCCCCCTTCTCCTCCTCCTGCCCTCCTGCTCCGTTTACCCGTCGAGGGACCTGCACTCGTCAGTCCGCTGCGTCGCCCAGCCGCGCTGCACGACGCCCGGCGCCGCGCGGCACAGCGCCTGCGCCGCGACCACGGGCACGTCGCCCTTGCCGAACGAGAGGGCGCCGCCGCCCTCGGCGCGGAGGGCCAGCCGGCTCTCGTCCAGTCCTCTCGGGAAAGTGGGCGACAGCACGAGGGCTACAGGGGGAGGAGGAGCAGGAGCAGGAGGGGGAAGGAGGAGAAGGAGGAACTGTCCCAGGCGCTGCCGCAGCCACCGCGCGGGTGGCAGCTGCCGGCGATCCCTATCGCCGGCGCGCTGGCGGCGCGAGAGGCCGTCGCCGTAGGACGCCGCCCAAAAAGCCATAACGCCATAATGGCTGGTGGCGGTAAGATGGGACCGTGACGGGAGTGCCGGGGACCCCTCCTGGGGTCGAAACGCACCAGTTTTTCTAGCCACGCC